TCTGCTCGTTTTATCACGTTTAACCACAGCTGTCGTCGGTTTTTTGTCTGGCAGTGGCAGCAGATATGCGCTAAAATTTCTAATTTGAGGCTGTATTACGTCGATTCTGGCACCCAACATCACAACAAGATGATATTTTAAGCTCCTCATGTAGCTGAATCTGCGCTGGTTTGAATGGGCTGCCTCCAGTTTCCCCTTTGTTTTGCTGCCTCCAGCTAGCGCTGTGACGTCGCTGACCCTAGTTACCTGTGGTTGGCCTGGCCGTGCGTCACTCAGAAAACAACAGGCCAATCAGAAGAGAGGCTCATGAATATTAATTAGACAGACCAAAATCCACCTGTTCTCAGCAGAGCTCCTGAGAGAGGAGCTGTAAAAAATATATTGAGATGGTTTTTGGTACTTATACCGCAAATATATATTCTTAAGGACATCAAGACTTAAAATAAAACTCCAGAAAGGTGTAAAATATGTGACCTTTAACACTCAAGGTCATAAATGAGTCTGAATGCAGAAGCGAGATGCATGTGCACACCTGCGGCGGGCCGAGTGAGACGTCTCGTTCGCGCTGCCTCCTGAGGGTGAACGTCTGTGAGCTTTGGGGGATTTGTTCCGCTCGCAGGAGTTGTACAGACCGCTGAGGAAAAACAAAGACGGGACGGCTTAGAGAGGACAAGAATGCACAAATAAAACAGACGCAAAAACTACAATGGCATTAGTATGGAATACCATAATAACATACCGTAGTCCATGAATATAAATCAGTGCTGTTATTGTTAAGTTAAACTATTAAAAATCATTTTCGGTAACTGAAATAATTACATAACATAAAATAGAAATACTAGATGAATAACTTAAAAAGCTTAAAGAAAAAATGTTAACTTGGCAACTACATGAAATAAAATAAAAGTTGAATAAAATAAGCTTAAGCTGGAGTACTAAAAATTAAAGCTATATAGAAATAGAAAAAAATGAGCACAAAATTACTAAAACAATCTTATATTAAAATGAAGACTGAACATATAAAATAAAAGCCAATTCAAAATATAAATAAATTCAACTAAATGGAAAAAAAAGTTTAAGGTAAGTTTTACAATTTCAGCCGTATAGAAATATATATATATATAAAATAACACAATTATTTAAACTTAAATTAAAATGAACACTGAAAAAGAAAAAGCTAAAATATAAATAAATACAACTAAATGAAATAAAATAAATTTAAGCCATACAGAAATATAAAATAAAAACAGCTTATAAAAATGTATTTATTAATATTCAAAATATTAATAAATACAGCTAAATTAAGATATGTTTAAGGTGAGGTACCGAAATTAAAGGTATATATATATATAAAAATAAAT